TTGGGAGTACTATACTGAGAGATGGGCCAGTTAGACATCATGCTTAGAACTAGAGAGAGGGCATACATTCTTTTTCCTTTTTTATCAGTACCGGGAATCAAACTCACGACTGCCTGCTTAAAAGGCAAGCACTTATGCCGCTGAGCTAAATCCCCAGCCCCTCATACATTCTTGATTTTGGACTTAGTACATATTTTTCCAGCATGTGAGTTGAAAGTTTTAATATCTTCTCCTTAAACTGCTTGGTTTGGTTCTAGTAGGAATGACGGGAAATAATTCTCATTGTAGGCCAATTGAGAATATGTCTAAAGACGATAAAATCAGTAAAATAAAGCAAAGAACTTAAAAAAGAAAGGGATGTATTCAAAGAGCATCAGCCCTAACTCATTTAATATGCTGGAAATGAAGCAAATATTTTAAAACTAAATTCCTGTGTACATGAGTAACTAAGCATAACAGTACAGTTTGCAGAAAATTGATATAACTTTAACAATTTGATAGAATTTTGTTAGATACTAAGGACATAGCCTTATGCATTGCAACTAACAACTACAGAGGTAGTTGAGCGTCGCTGACTCAAAACTCCATCGCACCATTCCATATTTTCTGAATAACACCAAGAAATATCAAAGGACCCCAGGGTGTCTTCTGTATTTACTACTTCACCCTGACATGTTAGTGTTCCCTATTTGAACTGAAAATCAATGATTTGATGGAAAAATGAAGCCATTCATGGGAGCAGCCAGCAGCTTTTGAACTGGGTAGAAGACATTTCCTGTCAAATGTTAGACCAACTTAACCTAGTTTGAAAATTGTCGATGCCTTCCTGGATGTTTAGCAGATTCTTTTGCCTTCATATACATTGCCAGGTTCTCTTCAGTGTTCATGACATCCGAGAGAGAGAGAGAGAGAGAGAGAGAGAGAGAGAGAGAGAGAGAGAGAGAGAGACAGGGAGACAGGGAGACAGGGAGACAGGGAGACAGGGAGAGAGATCGACACATGGTGGCACAAGGCTATTATTGCAGTTACTCAGGAGGGCTGGGGCAAGAGGATCACAAATTCAAGGTTAGTCTGGGCAATTTAGCAAGTCTCTCAATTTAGCAAGTCATAAATAAATAAATACATAAATAAATAAAATTGCTGGAGATGTAGGTCAGCTCAAGGCCCTGTGTCTAATTCTCAGAGCTGGCAGCAGGGTGGAAAGTGGTTATAGATACAGGTATAAAAACACCTTTTGTTTTAATAAGGTTAGTGACTTGGAATTTTCAGTCCAATCCCACATCCTCAGTGGAAGATACAATTGCATTAATAGTGTTTTGTGCCTATAGGGTAAATGCATCATAAAATCTCCCAAAGTGCAGAATTCAGGGATCTGTCAGGTTGGTGACCACATCCACATATCAGGAGAGTGTACTGGGCATCCCAAGTCCTTGGAGATGGGAGCTCCTGTTCTCAGGACCTCTCTAACTTTGTCCAGTGTGTATCTTCACCCATTCCTCGTTCATAGCCTTTAAACTACACTCAGCAACAGCTTGACAGTAGTAACTTAGCTGTGCTCCTGGGTCCGTGGGCCACTATAGCAGGTTATGGAATCATGGGATTCCTGATCTGCGGCCAGGTTGGATGGCAGTGAGGGGTAACCTGGAGCCCCACAGCTTGCAGTTGATGTACAGAACAGGAGACGGGGCCATTTGGGATGTGATGCTGCCTTGGGAAGATGGGTCAGGATTGAGTTAATCTGCAGGCTACCCGGGTGACATCAGAGACTTTGGTGGGGAAACCCACACATCTGCTATTAGGACACCAGAGCAGGAACAAACAGTTGACTGCTCTTCCTGTGTACACTTCCTATTTTAAGCCTCCAACCCATGTCCTCTTTGAAGTCCTTTTAAATTAGCCCTGGATGGCAGTATTAGCTCAGGCAAGCCAGCTAAAAGAGTGATTTTATAGCCAAAACCCTTAATGCGTAGACACCTTCCCATGTAACTAGGCAATAACAACTGGTCAATGCTTATTTCTTTGCCTGGTGGCTTGCATACATTTTGTGACACAATTTCAAGATGTGTCACCATTTCAAGATGTCACAGAGGTGGATCTATATCTTTACATTCCATTTAAATCGGGAGAGTCTGGTTGTTTACCCTAACAACTGCTTCTTCACAGAACTGTCCAAGTATTTGCCTAGAGTAAGCTTCTATTTTTTTTCAGAGCCTCAATTTACAGTCTGATGGCTTTCACTGGGGATATTTGTGGTCCCGTCTCCCCTTAATCCCTGAGTATAATCTGGTAAGGTTGGATTTTAGCCATTGGCAACCTATGGAAATCAATGCCGTAATCGAAAGTGAATTCCTTCATCTGTGCATCCAGTGCTGTCTCCTAGCCAAGAAAACTGCTCCTGCTGTTCATTAAGTGCCGTCCCACACCAGCGTGATCAGCCTGCTGCATCTGGTTTGGCTTCTCCACTTCATCATTTCATCAGCATACAAACCTAGCATCATTTCTCCATCTTTAACAAAATTTAAACTATTTCTCGACCTATCTATCCCCTCTCCCAGGTACTATTTCATTTGTTTGCTTCTCTGTATGGTTTAAATTTTGGAAAAGTTATCTATGTTCCTTGTCTCTAACTGCTCCTTTCCCTTTTGTTTGGGAAGTATTTTTTATTCTGTAAATAGCCTCCAGGTTACAGAAGAGTTGAAAGGACAAGGAAAAGAATTTCCTTCTCCCAGTACCATTTGAGAATAAGTTTTCACTGTCAAATACTCTATACGTATCTTGTATAATCTTCTATGTGCTCACAATCAGGAAATTAGTCCTGATATATTTCTATCTTCTAATCTGAGTCAGTGCTACAAATTAGCAAAAGGACTCAATTCTGAATTATCTGTTGCACATAGTTGTCCCATTCTGACACAGTCCCTTAAACATCCTTGCCTTTCATGACCTGGACAGTTTTGAAGATTGTCCTACTTTATTTTATAGAATTTCAGTCAACTTGAGTTTGATATTTTTCAGTGACTAAATTCAGAAAATAGAATGTTGGCATTAATATCATCAATGAAGTGTTCACTCACTGCATTTTTCTCAGTGGGATGTGATTTCAAGTTATCCCTTGATAAGGATGACACAGCTGTAAATAAAGCAGATAAAGATCCTGATTTTATAGAGCATAGTGTCTGAAGGGAAAAAGAAATACTACACAATGAATTAACCATTCCAGTTGTGCTAAAAGAAAAGAGTAGGGTACACAGAGAGAGAAGAGTGAGCAAAGTCACTATGAGGTGATCGATGAGTGCCTGGGACGGATGAGGGTGACATTTCTGCTGACACCTAGAGGGAAAACAGGCCAGCTTGTTGAGAAGGTGAGAAGAAGCTTCTCAAAGCATCAAGGAGAGCTTTCAAAGCATCAAGGAGACCCTGAAAAGGAAGAACAATACAACATGAAAGTGGACATCGCAGGTCCAGGACAGGCAGAACCCAAGGGCTATTTTATGATATTTTAGTTTTCTACAGAGTACAGTGGGAAGTTACGGAAGGTTTTCAGTACAGGAATGATATGAGCCACTTTATAAGATAACTTTCTAACTATGTGGAAACTATTGCTCCTGGCACAGTTGTAAAAGCAGGAAAGTAAGATTCTGAAATTTTTTGTGCTCTTGACTCCTCTAGCTGTCTGCTGAAATCTTCTCAAAACAATACCCTGTTTCCCCAAAATAAGATCTAAGTAGAAAATAATCAGCCTTGAAAACTAGAGATAAAAATGCCAGCTCCAATCAGCCATCCTGAAACCATGTAATGAAACCTCTGAGTCGATGGAGGGATCCCTAGTAATTATTTCAGTGGGACGAAGTGGCAGAGGGAAAAGCAGGAGCTACGTCCTGGTTCTACTGCCTAAATGCAATCCACGTCAACTCCACTTGAAGATCATTGGTCTGAGCCATGTCACCACTGTAACCTGGCCAAATCTGAGATCACTGTGTAGGTACGAGACTTTTAGAAAAAGAAATGAATAGTTTCAGTAGTAATGGGATAATGTTTTCAGTAGTCACCCGGAAAAGCTTTGATAGTACTACACTGGACCTTGCTCTCATGTAGAACAAATCTTTTGGAGTGACCTTCAGAGCAAGTGTATTATGTCATATAAGCAACTGACTTTACAGTTTCTGAAAATTGCCACCGTGGAGGCTAATCAAAGGAAGGTCCTATGGTGATGCCTCACAAGGAGCTGTGGAAATTCTGTAAGAAATGACAGTGTCACCAATTTGAGTGACAGCCTCTAGTGAAGCATCCCTAAAAGGTACACTGCTTTGTTGGACTCATAATATTGTGAATTATAATATTAAGATTTACTGTTATTGTTTGGACATACATATTGCTGGGTTTATTTTTATGATTTACTGGTGTGTTTATTAAAATATATAATAAAAATATGTAAATACGTGCCATATAAAATTAAATGTGTGTGTCTGTGTACACATACATGTGCACACACAGGTCCTGATTTCTTTGGCTAGAGAGGAAAATCAGCACAGCTTTAGTCATCCCTGGCCCAGTCCATGAAGCAGAGAAGCCAAGAGCGGTCACAGTAGTTGATCTGTGTGTAGTTTCCAGGTCCGAAATGATTTGCAGGGTTTATAATCTCATTTATTTCACCCTTACAACCAGGACTGGGACTAAGGCAGGGTAAGCGAGGTATCTGGGATCCAAAAGTGAGATCTCACACTCAGGGGTGGCCAAGGCCAGTGCTGACCATGAGTGCTTCTTTGGACTTTGGTCCTAAGTGTCTCTCTCACCCTGCCCTCATCCTGGACCTGCAGGAAGCATCGTGTGAGGTCAAATCATTGGCTTCCTTCCCTGCAGGTGACAGAGGGTGTGTCTTGCTACACAGTCACATACTATAGTGGAGCAAGGAGGGGGACACAGGCTGCTTGCCCGACTATGCCAGGCTCCTGAGTCCATGCCTGCCCACAGATCCAGTTGTTTCTGTTCCTCCTTTTCAGGTCTCCAAAGCAGCTGCAGACTTGATGGCCTACTGTGAGGCGCATGCCAAGGAGGACCCCCTGCTGACCCCTGTCCCGGCCTCAGAAAACCCGTTTCGGGAGAAGAAGTTCTTCTGCGCCATCCTTTAAGTCTCCAGGAGGAGGCCAAAGAGCCTCTGGGCTCCCGAGACTTTGCCGTAGAGTTTCTAGCACAGTGGGCGCCTTCCTTGCCCATGGCATTTAAAGAGAGGGAAGAGAACCATCGCGAAATTCCAGGCTGTGCATGTTTAAAGAACTGGTCCCTTTTATGAGATTGAAAGCCAAGCCACACCCCGACCTAAGAGATCTGATTCTGCAGACCTGCCTGGAGGAGGGGAATGTATAAAAATAAAATTGGTGTCACTTTTTTTCTGCTCTTCCCCTCCCCCCCCCAAGACCTTACATTTCTGCTTCATATTTAAAAAATAAACATTAAAACAGACAGCTGTACTGAGCTAAGATATGTATGATCTTCTCGGAATGAATATTGTCTTTAGATACCCTTTGATAAGCAGAGTCGTCCAGTGTAGCTGTGGTTCGGTTTAATGGCATTGATGTTTAGTCCTCGTGCGTTTCTTTTTCTTTCTTCCTTCTCCCTCCTCCCCTGTCCCTCCCCGTTAGAGTAGCTTTGGAGATAAGGCTGGGCTTCTGTGTAAGACTGAACTCCAAGAACGGGCACCCAGAATGCTTAAGGAAATGTTCCTCATGGTAATAACAAAAAACAATCGCCAGTTGTCTGTGCTTTCTTACCACTATTCTTAATATTTGTACACGATAGCTTTGACTCTGCAAGTAAATCATGTGTTGTGACTGGTGCTTTCATATTTTTGTGATGATTTTTGAGTAACAATGCATGAAGATGTCCCTCTGTTACATCCATTCAGAAGTTTTGTTGTTTTACTATCAAAGTAGGAAAAGAAATGAGAGACAAGAGAAAGCGAACTGGGGAGGACAAAAAACCTCAGTAGTGTGAAAATTGAGATGACTTCAGCGCCTTAGTCCTGCCTAAAATACCTCCTAATCAACCGTGGTGTAAGCGCCTCTTCTCTATTTTCCAGAATCCAAAGCATTTTGGTTTATCCAGGATCCAGGGCAGCACAAGCACCCCAAAGCAGGACAGTTCACCCTGATTCACCAGGACCTGAAAAGCACTTTGCCAGAGGGTATGAGCAAGTTTCCTCTTTCCCCAAATCACAGAAATTCTGGATGGAAAAGATTGCTTTTTGTGCTCCTAGCAAGACACCCCAGGGTCCTCCTTTGTTCAAGGATCAGAAGAAACAAACCCATGGCTGGCTCCACGAAGGTGGCCCAGCGGCAGAGCGCTGCCTCTTCCCCCACGCACCGGGGTGCAGGGCCCCAGAGCCCACTCTTTGGGTAGTAGGTGCAGCCCCCCGCATCCGGCTCCACTAGAAGGGGGTCGGCTTGGTTCTGACAGGGTCTGCATTTTTCATTTCTCAACTTTTCAAAGAAATCTTTGTTGCTCTTCGCCGCCTTGTCGGAGTCTCTCCCTTGCATCCCGTGCTCCTGCCCCAGGGTAAGAGGTTGAGGGCAATGATGCTCGGTGGCCTTGCAGCTAGAGCCACCTCCTTTTGGAAAGGCAGGCCCTGCCCGAGCATTTGTCACTGTTCTCCTGTGTCCCTTCAGCTCAAAGAGGGGCCTCTCTCGCATCCTGTTTCCTTTCAAACCCCCAAAGACCATTAACTCCGCATTAACTTCACCCTCCTCTCTCCCCTCCCCATTTTCTTCCTCCTAGTTAAAAAAAAAAAGTACTAAAAGGGAGGGAAAGAACAGACAAAAATGATTTACGATGCCAAGGACAGATTTTGAAACAGACGTGCTATTTTTCCTTAGCTTCTTTATGGGCGAGCCGGTGAAAGCACTGATTTGTCCAGTTCAGGCGCACACCCACAGTCCAGGGTGGGGGGAGAGGGGACCGAAGCATTTTTGAAACGCACGAATGCATTCTGTGACAGAAACTTCTGTTCTGAACACACCTTGGGGTTTTATTCCACTGGGATGCTGATGACAATCCTTAGCGGGTGAAGGAAAGCCGGCGGAGTATTTTTTTTGAACCCCAGATTTGTACAGTTAGCATAGAAATTCTTTGGAGTCAGCCAAAAACGCATTTGTAAAGCAAGCTAAAATGCAAATGAATGTGTGAGCACTGAGCTCTCTGATGAGTATGCATTAGCAGGCCCAGAGAGTTTTCAAATCCACATCATTTATTCTGCTCAGGAGGATTTGCTGTGTTTCCACATAAACTGATACTTTTTTGGAGCAATTTAAATAGAACTAAACATTTTCGGAAGCATCTCAATACTAGTCTGGCAATGACAAGTTAAGTAGGTTCCCAGTGTGACTGTGCTCATAAAAGGGAGAAAGGACAGAGGTACACAGCCCGTGTGAAGTTAGAGGAAATGTTCTGGCTTTTGTATCACTTCATGTGTTACACTGTGGAGTTATAATACCAGAATCCTTACATGAGTTTTACCTTATTGCTATTTGTGTTTAGAGCAGAAAAGTTTTGTATTTTATTATTTAGGCTCCAAAGAGCTTAATTTCTTTAGAAATTCAACAATAATTTTCACCAGCATAATTTTATCTTAAGGGTGGCTATTAGGAACTTCAATTTAATTAGTTAAGGCCCTAATTTCTATATGCCTGTGTAAAATATGGTATAACAATTATGAGAACCAGCCATGGAGTTAGTGAACACAATAAACATATTTAGAATGCAAATTCTATAAAGAAAAAAACCATTTGCATCGGTCTCAATATTTACTCCAGTGTAAAATGTTATTTTTAATTGGGATCAAGTTACTTTAATCAGAAGACTTAAAATAAGAATTTTGTTCTGAATCTGATTTTGCTAATAATATTTGGAAGAGATTGCCTGCCAAGGAAAAAATGAATCAATAAAAACCATGTCTCCATGCATTCCTGCTCACTAAGGGATTTGGAAAAAATCAAGCATGTTGTTAGGGGATTTTTATACTTTTCTTTCTTCCTTGATATTTGCCTCTAGCTGCTCCTGGCAATGATGAATTGTTACATACACATAACCGTTTCTCAGCCCAAGCATTGTTCACGTTTCTCCTATATAAGATCTGTGGAATGTGTCTTCTACGGAGAGAGAAATGCAGAAATGTTAAAGCAGGAAAACCTGAATGTGATGTGCACATTTTCATCCCACATGGACAATGTATTTGTTTTAATAAATGGAATTTTCAGATTCATTTCACATGGAGTCAATTTCATTGTGAAGGCCCATGGACTACCGTTCCCTTGCATTCCGTGGCTAACTGACTCAGATCGATGGGGAAATCCAAATCCATGGATTTCCTTTAGGTCCCACAGAAAGGAAAACTTACCTGAGACTCTATTTCTCCCTAGGTCTCTAATTCTCAGGTACAGCCTTCTTGGGGACAAAGAAAGGTGGGCAGGGAGAGACTGGGGCTCCAGCAGGCTGGACCATGCAGACAAAGGAACCGAATGTACATTCTAGTAGCCTGCTGTGTGTCTGCCATGGGAGACTTTTCTCTTTACCAATGATGATAATGCAGAAAGTGCTTTTCTGCAAAAGCTGCCCATGGTTTAAAAGAAGAACTGGAGAAGGTAAATCCTTGGAACTCTATATGTCCCTCAAGTTATACAGTGAGCAGTGGGTGGGCCTTCTTGATAAACACCCAAGCTCCGAGGTCTGTGTCACAGCAATCAGCAACTTTAAAACACAGAGGTGGGGCCACTTGGAACTTACACACCGGCGCTCATGGACATCAGTTTCTCAGACAGAGACCCGGACCACCTGCTTCAGAATCACCTGCTATCTCTAAAAGACAGATCCAGGGCTAGGGATAGAGCTCAGTGGCAGAGCTCTAGCCTAGCATGTGCAAAGGCTGGGGTCTTCCCTGACACCACCAAAACAAAAACCAAAAAAGCAGAATCTGGGGCCCCTCATGAACTTGAAACCCCTGGCAATAACAAGAATAAGCGTTCTATTGCACATTGGTGATCAGAGGTCCATGAATGTAAGTCCTTAGGACAACTAGCTTTTCATAATGCCTAAGGAAAGACACGAGCAATGGTAACCAGGCTCCCTCTCCTTCCCACAGAGCAGGAAGCGGCAGCCTGAGGCTCCAGGAAGAGGAAGCCGGTGGGTTTTAGCTCTGCTCCTGTTTCAATGAAGCCCTGTGGGACGCCTGCCTCCAGCTCTCCGTCTTTAATAAGCTGGTCACATTTTACAATGACACAGCGAATTGGAGCTGGGTCAATTCCAATCCACAAATTGCAAATAATTTGCCAAGGGAAATCCCTTTCCCTTCGGTTCTGCTCCAAATCTACATTTCCTTCTATTTAGAATCAGGAGAGACAGGCAGAACTTATTTTAATGAAGGGGGCCATGGGCCTTTGGCCTTTCCTCAGTGAGAACTCCTACTATTTCTCCTGATCAGTAGGAAAAAGCTGGGGTGAGGAAGGCACCTCTCTACCCTAAGGAATAAAAAGGTGGAACCTGGTGACCTCCGGTCATATTTAAATCAGAGCCCTTTGGCATAAGCCAGAGGACCTGAACCAGGCCTCAGAGTTCCTGTGTAACCTTGTGTAAGCCCTCTAACCTCTCCATGTTGTAAATCAGGGTCAAGAACCTGATTCCCTTGTCCCACAGAATCGCCAAAATCAAATGAATAAGAGCAGGTAAAGGATCATCACACAGGAAGAAGTAAAAGGGCTTGTGTCTAGATGTGCCCCCAAAGCCCCATGCACTCATAGGTGGGGATTTGGGAAGGAGGCTGGATCATGGTGTGTGACCCTGGGATTGAGGGTGTGTGGTATTGGATTAGTCCATTAATTGGTTTAGCACAGTTCTGGGTGTGGTTGAATGGATTTCTGAACACAGAAGCCCCGCCTGGGTGTGGGTGGCACCAACCAAAGAATTTGTAGCCTGGATGAATACAAAGGGCAAGGGAGGTTTGCTGCTGCTGCCTGCTGCTTTCTGCCTGCTTGCCATGGTTTGCTTCTGTGCCATGCCCCTTTGCCAGGCCACCCTGCCTTGCTGCAGCCAGCCAACTGTGGACCTCTACAAACTGTGAACTAATAAACCTTCCCTCTTCATTTGTGGGTGTCGGGCATTCGTCCCTGCAAAAAGGAAGTAACTAAGTATCTCACCAGAACACTGCTTAAGACTCTCTTGCACTTACCTGTGCCTGGGCCTGAGGACAGAGTCACTAGGTTCATATGAGCAGAATGGCCATCCTAAGGAAACTGAAGTAAGTCCTTTCCAGACTTATCAATGGTACCACAACCCAGCCCCAGGGGCTTCTGCTCTATGGTGGTCCTGTTGGGGCCCTCACTCAGCTGCCAGGCTCCCAAGGCCTCCTGTGGAGGAGCCATGTGTCACCGGGTTTCCCAAACCCTTTCTTAGGCTCTTAAATTTCCCTCATTGCTCTGTCAATAAATCCCACTCCTCCCCTTAGATGGCCACACCCCTCCTCCTCATGGGACAACTCAGTTCTGCTCATCTCTGAAGCCCCGTTTAGAGTCCGTGCTATCAGTGACTTCAGGGAACGTGAGTCTCTTTCCTCTCTCAACTCTTATGGCCCTGTGGTAACCTCCCATCAGAGTGATGTTCTGTGGTGTCGGAGGCTTCATGTGGGGTGCCTCCCTTCACAGCTGAGTGAAAACTGGACATGTAGGTCATGAGTTACCAGTAACAAGGTTCTAGGACACAGGAAGCTGCGAGGAGGTGGGACAGCCACCAGAGGAGGTGATGCTGGAGTTAACAGCAGCCCACCAGAGGCGCGTGTCTCTCAGGTAACCTCCACAGCATTGAAAGCACCAGTTGGGAAGGTTCCCTTTCATCTGCCTCCAGTCTCAAAGCAGCTGAGGAGAAAGCTCTCCCTGCTCCTTGCAGTGCTCATTAATCGGTTCTGCTCAGGATAAGGGACCAAGGTTGTGTGGACCTGACGACTTCATGTCCCTACATTGCAACATGGGGACTCTTTTACACCAGCGATCCTTGGGCCTCAGTGAAACCACCACATCCCAACCCTGGCAGGAGATCTCATTGACTCTGGCAGGTCCAGCAGCTGAAGGAGATGCAGTATGTTAAGTTCAGCCCTAGGAGGAAGGGTGCCTTCCACCAGCTACCGAAACACCCTCTGTAACTCCCCTTCACCGTGTCCACATGTGGCTATTTTAATGGGATATAAATGAACTAGATTTCAGTAACATTAAAAATTCAGTTCCTCACTGAACTAGCCACATGTTAAGGACACACGAAGCACATGAAGCCGGTGGTGACTGTATCACACAGATCCAGAACGCTGCCATCCTGGCAGGAAGCTCGGTTGGACAGTGCTTCTCCAGAACAGTGGTCAGCAACCTTCTTTCTACCCTAAACAGCGGCCAGAAGGCGCTTTCACCTTGTGCCCAAATGTAGACTAAACACCAAACTAGGAAGAGGGGAAAGTAAAAGTACAGTCAGCCCTCCCTATCCAGGGCTTCCAAATCTGTGAATTTGACCAATGACAGAACTAGAATATTTGGAAAAATGTTGCATCTGTCCAAACCACGTACCTAGGTTTCCTGGTGTAACAACTATTCACTTAGCATTCACACCTGGTGGTTACTGTAAATAATCTAGAGATGATTTTAGATGTAAGAGAGGATGGTTGCAGGTTATCACCAAATGCAATACCACTTTTATACAAGGGATTTGAGTACCAAGGGATTTGGGTGCACCCCCAGTTTTGGAAGATGGCTATGCCATAAAACTTATTTAAAAACTCACAACAAAATAAATAGGTAAGCCAGGCTGTAAACTATCTATCATTCCTAGAGACCTCTGAGCCAGGGATGTAGCCCATTTATCATGAAAGGGCAGTGAAAATAACCAGGATGATATATAACAGCAGCCCAACAAGGAGAAAATGTAGGAAGTGTTTACCAGTGTGCCATGCAGAATATTAAGTGCCGTGTGGGTGGCACTCTAGTTAATTCTCGCTGTCACTCTGGGACCAGGGCATTATTTCCTGAAGTGGACACCTCTGGTGCCTCCTGACACACCCACTTCAGGTGGCAACCACAGCTGCAGCAGGAGCTCTGGCAGGCTCCTCCTTCAGAGGAAGCGGGTGTCCCTGCGCCAGGCCTCAGCCAGTGAGGTGGGGATTGGAGAAAGGTCTCACGATTTACCCTTCAGAGGGGATTCTGGGTGCATTTTATGTAGTCTCTGAGAGACTCTAATGGGACTGAACGTTGATCCTTACAACCATACCCAACCCGACCACTTGCTGTGTTGATTTTTGCTCCAGAAGTCAACCTCGCTATCTTTTTTACATTTCCGCCTTCTGAGTCACTCTCACCATCTCCTCCAATAAGCTCCTTTTATCCAAAACCTCTACTTAGTCTCTGCTTTTGGAGGAACTCAGACTAATTCAAAATACTTCATAGATGAGGAATTTGCGATTTAAAAAGATTGACATTTCCCCTAAATTTCCATGGCTGTGAAGTGGCAGAGTCAGGACCCACATCTAGATTTGCCTTGATTCCAAAGATTTACCTCTTAATTACTCTCTTAAAGTGTAAGTCAGAATGCAAGGACGTAAGAGGAGAGTTCTCGGAAAATTTCTGAATCTGCTTTTATCTATAGAATAAGCAGACTGTGAATTTCAAACCACAGAATTACTTCTCTGGAATGAAGCAATCAGCGAGCTCTTTCTCATTAATACTTAGCTTTTCTTCACTGGTTCTTTGGTAGCTAGAAAAGTTTGTCAGTCACTTTCAGGTTGGCCTTGCACACACAAAAATATTTTCTGGTATCCTGTGCAAGGAAAACTAACAAAGGTTGTTACAATAGGGAATATTCAGTGTTTGTTTCTTTCAGGAGGGAAAATTTTCTTCCTTATCCAACTACTTCCTGTCACCTCCGAGCTCAGAACCCCTGCCCTGGTCAGAAGCAGTTTCATCTGGGTACAGTGCCAGCGTCCAGGAGCTCTGCTCCTCAAGCCACAATCTGAGAAAAGGACCAGAACAGAAGATGAAGAAGGAAGCTCTTGCAAGTGCAGTTTCAAGGTCTGAGCAGCAGCTCCATGGGAAAAGATAAAAATGGTGCTCATTTCCTTCCCCTGCCCACCCCATTTCCTGTTCCTGCCCAGGAACCTGGGGAAATCCCACTCATGCTTGTAAGGGAATCCCAACACAATCAACAGATGCTGCAGCACACATGCACCCAGGCACACAA